CCAATCTCCGCTGGGGCCACGGCTTTTTGATGCGCGTAGTTTCATTCATTGTTTCAGACATTGGCGTGACGCGTCGTGTTTTACGTGTTTGATCACGGGGATATCTCCCATCCTCTTTTTCCTTGCGCCGAGCTGCTCAGGGAATCTTGGGGTGTACAGTGCTCTCGTTTTGTACTATGCGCGATCAGTGTTTATATGTAGTTTTGATGTGAAGCTCCAAGTCGCAAGTCAAGCATGGACTTGCGTCGCAAGCCAACATGGATTTGCGTCGCAAGTCAAGTTTGGCTTTATGTTTCTAGACAGATTGATGCGCGCCTGTGAATAACTGCTGCGGCCCATCCATACTGTATGGGCGTTGTGGTTCCAAGCGCCACCAGTAGCTGATTGACGCCGTCGGCGCACAAGGCATATGTCCAGATCTGACCCCCGCCAACGTTGAGCGAACCCGAAAAAGGATTTCGATTGACACCAGGGCCATGGTCTTTTGCCGATGCCGCAAGCTTCGTATTTTTCAGCACCCTCCCTGTGCCCCCCGTCCGCCCACGCGCCTCGGGCTGGGCTGCGCAGCTCCGTTGCCGGTGGAGGTGCGCCACGAGCCCCGCGGCATATGATTCAAGTCGGGCCGGTCTCTCTACAGGATGAATGTTCAACATTAGTTTTTAAACATCGTCTGGAGATTTGTTCCGAGTATCTTCTGCTATTGCTGAACATGTTTTGAGTGCTTATGATCTTCCACCCAAAGTCCGCCTGTGGGGGGACGTGCCCGACCCAAGCCTAGGAGGGGGAAACACCGGCAGCCAACCCGTCACGCTGGTGGCCTGGGCCGCCAGGCCAGGCGCACTGGGAGATCCGCGCGCCACGCAGCCCCTCGTCCATGCCAGCCCGCCCACGTTGCCCACGCCCCCCCCCCCGTTTTCGGCTGTTGCTGGAGGTGCCCCTGGCCCAGGGTGCCCCCAGGGATTGCCAGCGAGGCCCCCACGGTCTCCAGAGCACCGCTCACGAGGCCCAGAGGGCCCCAGGGGCTCCAGAATGGAGCGAAAAGCTGGGGGCACCCTGGGCCCCGGGCACCTTCAGCAACGCCCGACACCTTCTCGGTGGCTCACAGACGAGGGGTCCTGAGGGATGGGGCCCTGAGGATGGGCAAGGTCCAAGGTTGAATCTACGCTGTGTGCGGCGCCCCGTTTTTCGGACCCCATCCATCAGGACCCCATCTTTGAACCGCCGATCTTCCTACAGTCGGGGCCCTGCAGAAGGAACCCTTTTCGTTTGGGAGGGGCTCGGTGTTCCTTGATTGTTCTACAGTTTGCCTTCTGTCTTCCTGAGGTTTCCCATGGGAAATCGAAGTTTAACTTATGGAAAAAAGGGGCCTCGTTCCTTATTTAGGGTTCCTTAGGTCAACGCCCCGACCTTTATGGCCCCCCTCTCGGGCGAACCCCGCCCGAGCGCGCGTCCTGCTGCTCTCCCGCGGCGGGCCTGGGCGGCGACGCGAACTGCTGGACCGCGGGCGGGGCCGAAAGGTACCGCTGCTCCACTGTTCGGGGGAGCGTAAGACCCGGGTTTGCCAGGACTCGGGTTCGCCATCGTTTTTTGACGACCGCGCCTCGGATTTTGACGAGGAGGGGTTTCGTGGGATGTCTGCAGCGGGAGGCCTCGTCAAAATGCAGGCTCGGCCTCGTCATTTTTTTGACGACCTCGTCGGGGATTTCCGAGTCCCCTGTACCCGGGTCTTACGTCCCCCTGAATTGTGCGGGCAATACTTCTGTCTATATCCAGTCCAGTATGGAGTTTCGGGCTCCCTTCCCAAGAAACCCGAGGCGCACTGGATGTGGATAAACTGGCCCCCTAGAAGCTCGTTTTTTTGATCCATATCCAGTGCGCCTCGGCCTTGTGGCGCCGCTTCCCAAAAAGTCCAAAAGGCACTGGATATGGACATGAATCTTGTCCGCACGCTGGCCTCTCTCGGGGATGCGTCCGGACCAGCAGGACCCTCGCCAGAGAAGCGAGGCTCCGACAAAAATTGGAGCGGCTGGTTTTACAGTGGAGACCCATGCCAAGAAACACCCTGCTTACCTCCAGGGTGCCCTGGGTTTCTTGGGTTTCGCTGGTTTTTGCGATGGACAGCGCGATTTTCCCACACCAGAAAGCAATGGACGTCCTGGGGTTTCAGGGTTGGCTTTCTTGTGACAGGTTTCTTGTGGACTAGCCTCCACTGTATCATATTCTCGATCTTTGGGGGGCCCCGACGGGCCCCGGGATCGTCAAAAAACGGCTCAGGATACAAGATAGCCCTACTTAGGGAAGTTGCCCCGATTTTTGGGGGTCCGCGCTCGTGGACGACGGACATACCTGTATCAGACGAATCGCTGGCTGGGCCTTTGGGCCGCGATCCCGCAGATACCGAGCGTTCTGTTCGCCGATGCCCCGCGCGGAACGTATCCGTGCGACCGCGTCTGCGCGGGATCGCGCCCCCGAATCCGGATTGCGAAGCCGCGGATGCGGATACGTTCCCCGCTCGTGGCGCGCATCGACAACGTGGAGCGACGGACGTCTGCCCTCCGCCCCCCTCCCGCGGCCTCTCCCCCTGCTGCGCCTCCCGTTCTCTCTGAGGTCCGAGCAGTTTCTTCGGGTGGAGGGCAAAGGGTGAAATCTGAAGTGCCCTTTCGACGGATGTTCGAGGCTCGAATCTGCAAAAAAAATGACTGACAGGACGGATTGAGTTTTTCGAGGTGCAAAAAAGCCCAGATGCATTTCACCCTGAGCCTTTCACCCTACGAAAATGCTCAGGAGGTGCAACGTTAGGACGTGAGGGGGAGTTTTTTTTTTTGCCCAGAAGTCTCGGGCGAAACGTGACCGAGATTAATTAATCTCGGTCGCGTTTCACCTAAAATCCCTATGCCGAAATCACAAGCCACTGCTGATGGCCTCTGCGCCGGCCTCAAGCCCGCGCCCAGGGGGAGGGGGGGCTCGTGGGGGAGGGGGGAGGGAACATCGACCTGGCATAGCGTGCAGGCCCCGACGGATCGGCGACGGTGCGGCAACGCCGGCTAAAGCGCGCGGCCTTGGCGGCGCAGGCCCTCCCCCGGCCCCCACCCCGGCGAGGACGAAGCGGGGACGGTCGATACCTCCCCCCCCCCCTCCCCCCCTGAGGCCCTCCCGCCCTGACGTTGCCACCCTGCGCCCGTCCCCGCCCTGACTGTCCTCCCCCCCCCTCGCCCCCCCCCATCGGCGAGGACTGAGCGATTGGCGGTCGAATATTTCCGCCGCCTTACGAAAGTAGGGGCGAATCTTCTCGCAAGCACACTTTCCAGAAGGAGCGACGACAAGGTAGGGCGGACATCGACATCGGAGGAACTTGAAACGTAGGGCGGAAATTCCAGCCTTAGCGGTCGTTTTTTATTCATTGTTTTGCTGATCGGCGCCCCCTCCTCCCCCCGAGCCCATCCCGCCCTGACGTTGCCCCTGACCGCTTCGCCCCTCCTGCCCCGCCGCGCAGGCCTCTCACCCGCCCGCTGCGCTCGCGGATCGCGCCGCGTTGTGTGTGGAGGTCGCGGACAAAGGCACCGATATGGACGCTCCGCGGGCCTCTGCCATGGTCGACCCCGTGGCTCGAGAGAGGCTGTCCCAAGATCGAGCCACGGGGCCCCCGGAGGAGTGGACAGCAGTCCTTCCGCGGCCTGCTTCTCATCCCGAGTCGTTACTCCAGATGTCGTAATAAGAGGGAGGGGGTTTGGACCCTCCAAGACAAGCCATTTCAGACCTCCCCCGTGGGAGAACCCTCCAAAACATCGTCCCCAGACCCCCCCAGGCCCTCCAAGATAGCCTGGAAGAGACCCCCCCCCAAATGAGACCCCCCTCTCTTTATTACGAAATCTGGAGTACCTGGCGGTCCCAATGCTCGTTGAGGGCCCCGAAGTGGCCGCAATCTGCAAAACGTGGGCCGTCCACTCTCTGTCGGAGCCTCGAGCGCCGCACGTTGCGCCTTCCTGCGCTCGGTGCGCCGGGCAGTGCCACTTGCTGGAGGCACGCGCCAGGCGGGCCGCGTGCGCGGCGGCGCGCAGGGTGAGCTGCTGTGCGTCGGCGCGTGTGGTAGCTTACGTTGGGCAGGTTGTTTGGCCATCGGGTCGCGAGTGGCGATCCATTTCGGCGCACGCAATACCGTCAACCCGCACAGTAAGGAGGAGCAGTTCTCCAAGGTCATCCTTGCATCCTGCACCATCGGCCCTTCCTGGGCTGCTTTCGCGGGCCGCGCCCCGCTCGCAAAGTGTCGACGTGGCCGCCCAAGGCCCAAGGCCCTGGCACCCTTCCCGCGCATCCTTGCATTCGGGTGGCTACGTCTTCAAGGGGAAATTCAAAAGGGCGGCGAGGCGCGGTGTCACGGCATTGGTGCAGAGTGCCTTTGTGCAGCCGTGGTCGACCCCCGAGTGGTATCAGCAGTGGTGCCCGCGGTCGTGCCCCCCTCCTCCAGGACAGAAATCTGCGTCCGTTACTGCCTTTGTTTGGGTACGGCCAGATTTTTGCCAGTGCTTTCGATTGGTCGAGTTTGTTGGCCTATACTCCACTTGCTCGGTTTTCTTAAGACCAACCTGAAGTTCAGTGCGGTTGCGGAAACCAGCGGCTATTTCGGTTTGACTGCCGATCGTCCCGGATTTGTTCCAGAGCGAGTCTAGATGATGACAGTTGAATCGTGTTCCGCCCGTAGTCCATCGTTGACCAAAACAGTTGGAGCTGGTAGCGGAGCTGGACTCGCTCCAGCGCCCCGTCCCGCACGCCCGCAGGTTCGGCGCAGGCGCGCGCGATATCCCGCCACGCGGCGGGGCAGGAGAAACTACGACGTACGCCGAGGGCTTCGAGCTCGTCGGCAGGCAGCGCAGCGCGCGGCAGGCGCTGGTCGAGAAGATGGCGCGCTTCAGTAAGCTGAGAGGCTACTGGAGCGAGCTCGGGGCGCACCTCAATTGCGTGAAAAAAAAGCCAGCGGCGAGACGAGAAGCTGGCGCTGAGAGATGGCGTTGGAACAGGACACGTTCAACGAGGTGCAGAAGGCAGCGCGGCAGGCGCAGGCGGCCATCGGAGAGCTGCAGCGGCAAAGCGCAGAACCACGACAGCAGGCGCAGCAGGCTCAGCTGGCAGGATGCCCTGAGATCATCAGGCGGCTCGGCGAGGTGGTCGAGCGGCTAGACGTACCAGAGCAAGCTCAACAGCGAGTACCACAGCTGACCTAGGCGAAGGACATCGGGAAGCCGCCAGATTTCAAGAATGAGAAGGCGCGCTTCAGCGAGTGGTTGCAGAAGCTCAACGGCCACGTGCTTAGCATCTCCGGGGTCAGCTTCGAGGTGATGATCGAGTGGCGGTCGACCAGGCGAACGGCTCGATAGCGCTCGCGACGACAGCCGCGGTGGCGCAGTTCGCAGACGAGGCGGTCGATGACGAAAAGATCGAATCGGTGGACGAGAAGCTCTCCCAGCTCTATGCGTTGTTCACGTCGCCCATGGAGGGCGAGTCTTTCGATCTCGTAATGAGCGCTGGCCAAGGCTGCGGTTCATTGGCCCTGCGACTCCTGGTTCGTCGGCGGGGCCCGACAAGCGGCGGGCGCCGCAGGGTGCTACGCGAGAAGATCATGGCGCTCAATCGAGCGGAGAAGCTTGTGAATCTGGCCGGTGAGATCGCGGCGTGGGAGGAGTTCATCGGGCGCCGCGAGAGGCGGCGAGCAGATGATCGAGACGTTCGGCTGGACGACGAGATCAAGATGAGCGCGTTGGAGAGTTTGCTTCCGCGGGACGTCGAGTTGCATCTAGCCCTCAACCGCGCCGGGCTAAACGACTGCGCGTCGACGAGGAAGGAGGCGCGCGGCTTCTTGGAGACCCGGCGGGCATGGGGGGCGCTTGGTCGAGCTCGAGGCTATCCAGTGGAGATGGGCGCGTTCGTCAAAGGCCACCCGAAGGGCAAGGGCGGCAAAGGAAAGGGCAGGGATCACAAAGGAATGGGATCTGGGCCCAAAGGAAAGGCGGCGAACGACCCGAACGCATCCCGGTGGAACTGCGGACGAAAAAGGACATCGAGCTTCAGAGCGCTGGAACCCGAAGCAGGCGAAGCGCAAGCCGAAGGGCAAAGACCGCGCCGAAAAGGGCAGGGGCGGCCACAATCAACGGCATGGAGAAGGAGTTCGCACAGACTATCTGAACAACTCCGAGGAGACGGGCAGCACGACCAGCACGCAGCTACCAGCGCCAGCGTCGCAGGCGGGCCAGAGCGCCAGCTTGAGCTTCGACGCGTTCGCGAGGATCGCGGAGTTGAACAGCGTGGAGGTGCAACCCGACAACAAGCGCTGCAGGAAGAGCATCGCGATGAGGCTCGACATCGGAGCAGCGGCGACGGCCCTCCCGCTCAGCCAGGAGGGCGAGCGCGCCGACCGGGACTGGACTTCCCACCGCGCGGCCGCGGGCGAGACCGTGGAGGACAAAAGTGGTGTCACCAGTAAGGGCGCGTCCGAGTGCGGCGAGCAGATGAACCTGCAGGGCAGGCGCGCGAACGCCAGCGAGCCGCCCTTGTCAGCGTCGGCCACGGCGTCGAAGGGCTACGTCACCTGGATCGGGGCCTTCGGCGGCTACGTGCTCAAGGACAGCGAGTTCACTGAGAAGATTCACCAGATGATTGACAACCGCGCTGCAGGGCGGGTTCTACAAGATGGACGCGCTGATGGGCGCGCCTGGGTCGTCTTCTTCGACTGAAGAGGCTGCCTTGGATATCTGCCCCTGGGCCCCAGCGATGGCGGGCCCTCAGTGGCTGGCAATGGCCCCCTGGGATCAACGAGCGCCTCGCA